CCCCCGCGGGCACGAGGCCCTGGGGGCTCCCCGCCCGCGCGGTCCCGCGGGGCTGGGGGCACCGCGCCGCGGGGACTCATCAGCCTTCGGTTTCGCGCCCTGCGGCCCGTAAGCCCGGGTCCCGGGCCGCCCCCGCCGCCCTGGCACCGAGGCGGCGGCCGGAGCGCGCTCGGCGGCTGCGCTCCGAGGCGCCGGCTGCCATGATTGCGGGCAGCGGAGCGCGCGCGCGCACGCTCGAGCCCGGCTTGGGGACCCGGGGTGGACCGACGGTCCCTGGCCTGACCGCAGCCCAGCGCGCGCGGCGGAGTGGCGGCTAGACCTCCGGCCTCCTCCCTGCGAGGCTAGGGCTCGCCGCGGAGCTCTAAACGAAGCTCCAGGACAGGGCTTGGGATCGCGGGTGGCAGCAGGCTTCCCCCAGGGCACGGTGCGCACCAGGAGGAGCCTGCGGCGGCTTGTCCCGATCCTGCCTGCGGGGCTGCGGGAGGGGCGCGGGGTCCAGTGGGGTGGGAGACGGAGTGCAGGGGACCTGGTGCAACGGAGGGGGCAGCGCGCTGTGCCCAGAGATGGGGCCGCAAGGTGCCTGGCACAGGGGAGCCCTCATGGTGCCCGGGGAAAGCATGTAATGGGCGGGGGCACCGTGCCCGGAGCCGCTGCCCAGTTCCAACCTCTCTCTTCCTTCCCCGCAGAAACAACTTCCTGCCACCCCCTCACCCCCCGGCCCAGGGCGCAGGAGCTGCGGGGAGAAGTTCTAGGCCGCAGCTTTGCTATCTGGGGGCCGGACGACGACGCTGCTGTCCCCGGGCCGCGCGGTTCCTGCCCGCAGTCGCAAGCGGGCCGGGGCTCCAGGGTCCGGCCCCTGGTTAGAATGACAAGGAGGCCACAGCTGCTTTTTTTTTTTTTTTTGGCCTGCTCGTAGGGGCGCCTGAGTGATTCCTGGCGCTTGGGGACGCCGACACGGGGTCGCCCTGCCTGGACTCCATCCCCCTACCGGGGCATGCCCTGTCTCAGAGCCAAATGGACCTGGTTGTCCCCAGTGCCCGCGACAGGGCCCGAGAGAAACGAGGCCTCCTGGGCCCCATCCCAGTGTCTCTCTGTGCCTGTCTCTCCCCCCCCCCCCCCCCCCCCCCCCCCCCCCCCCCCCCCNCCCCCCCGCAGCCGGCCTTGGCATTCTAACCAGTGTCCCTTGACGTCACATCTCGCCATCTCTGTCAACCAATTGAAACTTGCCCGTTGTCATAAAAATATATATACTTTTTATGCCATTGGTAAATTCAAAAGTTCCTCGTGCGCCCGGCTTCCCAGGAAACTTCATTCCACACTGGACTGCCCAGGCAGGGGGTACCCGCCATGGTGCCAGGCTGGGCTGGGACAGCCGGAGCAGCTCAGGCCAGGGCCTCCCTTGCCCACTGACCCACCTTGGAGGCTCCCGAGGCCCACCCTGACCGTGGCGTTGAATCGTGCTAGACACACACACACACATGACTGCCACCACCGTCTATGACATATACGATGTGGGGAGGAGGAAGGGAAGGAGGGAGGGAAATAGGATGGATTAAGAAATCTTCCAAAATTACTTTCCTGTGTGTTAGAATCTTCCTAGTGGCCCCTTCTTTGTAGGGACAGACTTTCCACCCCCCTCCCAGCCCACCCCTCAACCCCGGCCATGAGAAAATTCCGTTTTAGAGGCAGGAGTGGAAGTGTTTTCTGGTTAATCTTTTCACCGAAACCCTGAGCAACTTTCACTTTCTACGGCTGCTGACACCAAGCGAGAGGGCCCAAGCTGGGGTGGTCCCACGATGGGGTGGGTTTCGCTCCTGCCCCGTGGAAGGTCCGGGGTGACCCTTCCCAGCTTCCAGGGCTGTGGGGTCCCCTTGGGAAGCCCAGGAATTCTGTGCTCTCCTTCCTCAGAAAAGGACTCTCAGCAGCCGTAGCCACACGTTCCAACAAGACGGCAGGAAAAACCAATCTCTCCTTAGCGCAGTCCTTTATAATTTCTCCACTAAGACAGTTCCCAGCCCCGATCAGGACATATGGGGGAAGAGGACACATTCCCACGAGATGAGTACTGCAGGGCGGCCCCCCCAAGCCACACAGACCCTGCCGTCACCCCCTCCTGCTCTGGCCACACCAAGGAAGAACCCAACCACTAACTGCCATTATAAATTCCCCCTTTCCCCATCTTTACTGTATGGTTCAACTACTTTATAAAAAACATATTAAAGACATTTTGTGGTTTAGCAACTTTGGGGACTCTAGAACAACAGAAATGCCTCAGAGACCAGGCTGGATGCAGAGATCTAAACACTGGATGTACCGGGCCCTTTTAATACCAAATCTGTGTTTTTCCAAAATAATGAGCAAGCTTGGTGAGGACCAAATGGAGATTTTGAAAATAAATATCTGGTGACTCTTCTCACGGAAAACCATTCCCAAGTGCAAACTCCAGAAAGGCTTCATACCTTTGAGATAAATTCACACACACACACACACACACACACACACACACACACACAGACAAATATTACAACCAA